CACACTCCAAGTAGCCAGCACCAGAAGGAACAAACTTACACCAGGTAGCCAGAGTGAATGAAAATCTAAATTATTTAAATTTTCCTTAAAGCTTCCACACTACAGTATACAATTTTAATAGAGTGGTATTTTGGTATACCATGGAGATTCATACCTTAGAATAACAAGAGATATACATAAGAATATTCATAGCAGTATTGCTTCCAAAAAGAATATACTAAAGAGCAGAAAATTGGGTTAATAACAGCTGTACATGTTGACATGGATGTATTTCAGAACCATAAAAATGAGTGATGAGGCCGGCGCTGTAGCTCACTTGGTTAATTCTCCACCTGCGGCACCGGCATCCCATATGGGCGCCGGGTTCTAGTCCCGGTTGCTCCTCTTCCAGTCCAGCTCTCTGCTGTGCCTGGGAAGGCAGTGGAGGATGGCCCAGGTGCTTGGGCGCCTGCACCCACGTCGGAGACCAGGAAGAAGCTCCTGGCTACTGGCTTCAGATTGGCACAGCACCGGCCGTGGCAGCCATTTGGGGGGTGAACCAACGGAAGGAAGACCTTTCTCTCTGTCTCTTTTTCTCTCTCACTGTCTGTAACTCTACCTGTCAAATAAATAAATAAAAATCTTAAAAAAAAAATGAGTGAGAAAACTAAAGCATCCGGGAACACATAAGCTGGGATGCCATTGCAGAAAGACCAAAAATAACAAAAGGAAATTAAGCTTGGCTGTAAATATATCCTATCATAAAAGGATGACCAAAAAGCACAAAATAGCATTACATGTGAGAAATACAGAAGGAGATGCAAGCAGAGGTTGATAGGAGACTGAGGTTGCATTGATCATGCATATTTCTACAATCAGATACTCTTGTTATTCCTTCCAAAGCTCCCACATATATATATCTGTGTATAGCTATGAGAAATGTTTATAACATAAATTATATTTAAAAGTTGTGACCCACTGGCTTAGTTTGGGTTCTGGAAACAGTTGTTCACTACATCCCTTGTCTTTCTGCATACTTAACTACTGCTTTTAAAAATATCAATGTTCCCTGGAGTTAGGTGCTTGCTACTTTTCAGTGAGTTCTGTCCCAAGGACTATGAGCAGAAGAGGCAGACAACTCTGTTCAGACCTGGCCCATAATGTCTGCCATGCACTCTCCACACTGTCTTGCTTCGTGAACCTGCTGATCATGTGCAGGGAGTCCAGTGAGCGGCAGAGTCCACTGAGTGAGTGGCAGAGGCTCTTCATGGCAGCAGAACTCCAGCCCATCCTACACTTAACTATGCTGTAAACAAAAATTAAAGGTAAATACGATAAGCCACTGAGATGTGGTGGTTACTACAGCAGCCAGCCTACCCTGCCCTATGCACCTGCTACCAAATGATGACTCAGTCTCAGGATTCCAAACAGTATTGAGACTTCAGAGTATAAACTAAGTCTTTTTTAGAAAAAAAAAAAAAACTCATTCTCTCTTTGGTGAGTAATAACATCCAAACCTATAGAAGGAACTGAGGATAGAAATTTCCTCATTGGGAAAGTAAACAACCATTGTTTGGAATACAGTCCCATTTTACAGAGCAAATAAGAGAAATCTGAAATCTTACTTCAAGGTAGTTACTCACTTCTGGGTCCACTTCTTTCATGAGGAGAGCAGACAGCCATTGCTTAAGTTTTTGCAATCTGGAGGCCATATACTTAAGAAGAAATGAATGGTGGGATCATGACACACATTCCAGGGAAAGATTCCAAGCGAAGGATAAGTAAGTCCTCCTTGCACCCAGCCAACCATGGCTACAGAGTAACACATGAAAGAGAACAATAATTGCTGCATTCTATGAGTAATTATTCCATTCCAAGCATCATTAGCTTAGAAACACATTTAATATTCAAAATGCAATAGTGCTATTATCACAGTGGTAACAAACCAAGATACTGAGGGGCAAAGAGTGAAGGCGAGCACTCCAGGTTCTCTCAAGACCCTGTTTTAGAAGGTCAGGAAGCAGCAGTGTGGCTCTTCCAGAATATAGGATCGTTATTTCCCCTTAAATAGGTGCATTGCCAAGAGGTCCCAGGCTTTCTTGAATTTTCCTTTAAAAACTCACTGTGCCTTATAGTGAATTACTAACGCCAGTAAGTGAGAGTAATGGCAATAACTGAAGCCGGTCTATACTCTCTCAAAGCCCAGTAATAGGAGACAGGGAAGACCCAAAGAAAAGAGGCTTGGGAGTTGTTTCTCCCCCTTCACCTTTCCTCTTGCTACTACTTTTAAAAGTCATCAACCTATTTTGGAGATGTTTCAGAAGCCCTCATATTCTTTTATTTTATTTTTATGATTTATATATTTATTTGAAATATACAAGATGGGAGAGAGAGAAAGAGAAAGAGAAAAAGAGAAAGAGAAAGAGAAAGAGAAAGAGAAAGAGAGAGAGAGAGGATCTTCCATCCAATGATTCACTCCTCAGATGGCCACAAAGACCGGGGCTGGGCCAAGCCAAAGCCAGAAGCCAGGAACAAGGAGCTTCATCTAGGTGTCCCATGTGGGTGGCAGGGGCTCAAGCACTTGGGCCACCTTCCACTGCTTTTCCCAGGCCATCAGCAGGGAACTGAATGGGAAATGGAGCAGCCAGGACACAATCCGGCACCCACATGGATGCCAGTGTCACAGGAGGTGGCTTCACTCGCTACATCATAATGCTGGCCCCAGAAGCTCTCATTTTAAAACAAGAAAAACCATTTATGAACATGTCCCAAGTTCCTATTGGGATATAATGCTGGAGCACACACAAACAAGGTTGGTGGTACTCATGAAATAGGGTCCCCACTTCTAAGTTCTTGCAACAAAATAAAGCAAGGACACCAACTACTCCAATGGATCAAAGAAAAAAAAATCAATATCCTATTTTCCTGAACCATAGAACTACAGATTGCCTTTAAATGGGCAATCTATTTTGATGAAGAAAGATCCCTTTTCTTTTTTTATTTTTTAACTTTTATTTAATGAATATAAATTTCCAAAGTACAGCTTATGCATTACAATGGCTTCCCCCCCATAACTTCCCTCCCAACCGCAACCCTCCCCTTTCCCACTCCCTCCCTGTGGGGAGCAACTGGGAGCAACTTGGACTAGACTAAGTTACTGGAATTAAGACTTATTCTATGCATCTGCTCTCCCACAATATGGCGCTGGGAGAGGAGGAAACAGCTTCTACACAGCTGCCTCCAGTTCAACCAATAAACAGCAGGACCTGCTCCTGATTGCAGGAGAGCAGCGTACTCGGCGTGTGGGTAGCAGAGTTGGGATTGGCGGAAGAGGACTATAAAGGAGGAGAGAGACAACATGCACCAGGAACATCTATCTGAAGGAACACCTGTGTAGCCTCCGAGAGAGCCGGCCAGCGGTGTGCCGCTTCCCTGCGGAAGTGGGGAAAGTGGCAGGGGGAACCGCCCTTCCACGGAGGTGGAAGGGACGGTAGCCAACCCGGGAAGAACCAGCAGCAAACCCGGGGAGGGCCGAGCAGACGAAAGAACAGCGCAGGGTCCTGTGTCGTTCCTCCACGAAGACGGGGAGCGACATAATGGTGCCGTGGCTCGGATATGAAGCCTAGGCAGGGTTTAGTGTTGTTCCTCCATGAAGACGGGGAGCGACACCTCCCCCCTTCCATTCACATCAAGATTCATTTTCGATTCTCTTTATATACAGAAGATCAATTTAGCATATATTAAGTAAAGATTTCAACAGTTTGCACCACATAGAAACACAAAGTGAAAAATACTATTTCAGTACTAGTTATAGTATTAAATCACAATGTACAGCACCTTAAGGACAGAGATCCTACATGAGGAGTAAGTGCACAGTGACTCCTGTTGTTGACTTAACAAATTGACACTCTTGTTTATGGCCTCAGTAATCACCCTAGGCTCTTGTCATGAGCTGCCAAGGCTATGGAAGCCCCCTGAGTTCACCGACTCTGATCATATTTAGACAAGGCCATGGTCAAAGTGGAAGTTCTTTCCTCCCTTCAGAGAAAGGTACCTCCTTCTTTGATGACCTGTTCTTTTCACTGGGATCTCACTCGCAGAGATCTTTCATTTAGGTTTGTGTGTTTTGTTTTGTTTTGTTTTGTTTTTGCCAGAGTGTTTTGGCTTTCCATGCCTGTAATACTCTCATGGGCTTTTCAGCCAGACCCACGTGACTTAAGGGCTGATTCTGAGGCCAGAGTGCTGTTTAGGACATCTGCCATTCTATGGGTCTGCTGTGTGTCTTGCTTCCCATGTTGGATCGTTCTCTCCCTTTTTTATTCTATCAGCTAGTATTTGCAGACACTAGTCTTGTTTATGTGATCCCTTTGGAGAGATTGCACATCTCTTTCCTCTCTTATTCCCACTCTTATATTTAACAGCGATCACTTTTCAGTTAAGTTTCAACACTTGAGAATAACTGTGTATTGATTACAGTATTCAACCAAAAGTATTAAGTAGAACAAACAAAAAAAATACTAAGAGGGATAACAGAGACTTGGACAACTCAAGAGTAGGAAAGGGTTTCTTTTATTCACCTCTTTATCTTCTTTATTTGAGAGGCATAGACAACGTGAGAGAGATAGAGAGAGAGTGCTCCCGTCCTATGGTCCACTCCCCAAATACCCACCGTGCCTGAACCTGGGCTGGAGCTTGAACCATGAGCTGGGAATTGCATTTGAGTCTCTCAGGTGGCTGGCAGGAACCTGGCTAGTTGACACATCACCACTATCTCTCAGGGTGCATATTAGCCGAAATCTGGAGTCAGGAACTGGATATTAAACCCAGGCACTCTAACGTAGGAAGAGGGTCGTTAACCACTGGGCTAAATGTCTGCACCTCTCCTTTTTTAAAGATTGGTTGAAGTAGAACATAAAATGGATATCCTGAATGTAAAACAAAGGCGAGAGGAAAGGAAACATTGATCAACAAAGACTTAAAAATAATTAAGAAGCGGGAAAATATTTAGAACCCTGGAAAAAAAACAGGAGTTGAAAATCATCAGAAAATATAACCACAGGTTCATGAGCATTTCCTTCCCCAGTAAGAAAGTCAATGCCAGGTGACAGCTTGCTCCTTGCCAGGCACTGCTATGAACATTTTACATGGGTTCATTTCATCAACCAATTTAGGTGAGTGCTACTAATGTCTCTGTGTTTTAGAACGAGGGAACAGAGCACAGAGAGTTTAAGCACCTGGTGAAAAGGCACACAGCTTTTACGAGACACAGTCAATATTGGAATATGCATTTCTTGTTGCCAGACTTCTAACACTGAGCATCTCTAAGCAACCATCCTCTGGTCTGCTTTGGTTCATCTGCTGAGGTCTTTACCTCTAGTGGCCTGAGTGGATGCTACTGGGTAATCCCCAGGTTCTGAACATGCAGACTTTTGCATGCCCTCAAGGAATGAGGACCCCTGCAGAAAATTACATCAACAGCACAGCCAGCCAGGGAGCTGATAACGTTCAAATAGCAAAGACTGCTCCAAGTATCACAGGGAGAGTCCACCCAGGAGTGAGGAAGGGATGGTGTCTATGTGAGCCTGAGAGAGGAGAGAGGGAACAGGGATGAGAATAGAGAAGAGATAGTAATGATGATTCTATGGTAGCTTCTAGAAGTTGATGAGCCATGTTGCAAATATACATATGCATTATTGCATGAACTACATGATTCTCAGAGAATAATAAAATTACAAGGGACTTGAAATATTAACTACTCCAAGGTCAAGTGGTAGAGTTAAAACTTAGAGTGGGTTAGACAAATTTTCCAAGTTTTCCAGCTGGTTATCACTAGGGCCAACAGGAGCAGTCAGATTCCTTAATTTAGTTTATTATTGCCTTTTCTCTAATAATCCTATGCGACAATGTCTAATAAGCAATGTTATGTTTTGATCACTCGCATCTGAACTTACTTTTATATGAGTAATATGCTGCAATGGTTTCTACAGGCTTCTGGATTGCTCTTCCTCCATCTGTGTGAAGTTGCTAATTACCTGTTGTCAATGAAAACAACCCTTGTAGGCAGCTGAAGAAATGGGATTCGAAATAGAAGTTTGAAGTCAAGCAAAAAACACAGGTGTTGCTTTGTTCAATTAAAGCCTAACAAGAACCTTAGTGGGATAAAAGGGTGGGAGGTGGGAAAAGGAAAGGAAAAGGTGACGTCATCCCTGCTGTCAGAGGATAAAAGGAAGAAAATAGCTTACTAAGTACTTCCCGAGAGGGAATTTGGAAAGCTGAAGATTTATAGGGCTAAACTTTCTTCACATTACAATGTACATTTCAGAAAAAACAAAAAAAGTAACAAGACTCTCTGTCTTCTTAAAAGTCAGGAGGAAGTCAATAGTTAAAGATTAGACTTTGAAGCAGGCAATGAATTATAAATCGAGGGTTTTGTTTTTGCTTTTGTTTTTGTTTTTATGAAGGGGAAGCAGGCAGAATAAATTCTACTGAATTCGTTAAAGTTTGTGTCTGTACACTTGGAGCAATGTACTCTAATGTACTATACAGAGACAGGCACAGTTTGTCAATGCTACTGCAGCTAGCATTAAAAAAAAAAAAACAACTCCTGCTTGGGTTGTTTTTAATAATCATTTGTTTTCAGAGTCTTATTAACAATAGCCAAATTTCAAAATTAAAATATATCATCTCCTGTAGCCTTGTCACTCAAACACTGTGCAGTCCTCCTTTCCCAGTTAGGAATCCCATTGAACACGAAGAACGGGAAGAGCAGAGGCATGCGTCTTCACACTCTGAGGCCAGGTCCCCTCTGAAGAGATGCACTACTTCACACTTCTTCAGGAAGCCCTTCGTCCCCCTTCCTGTCTCCATCACCTTCAAGTCCAGGTACATTTTTTTTTTTTTCTTTTTTTTTTTTTTAAACTTTTATTTAATGCATATAATTTTCCAAAGTACGACTTATGGATTACAATGGCTTCCCCCCCATACCGTCCCTCCCACCCACAACCCTCCCCTTTCCCACTCCCTCTCCCCTTCCATTCACATCATGATTCATTTTCGATTATCTCGATATACAGAAGATCAGCTTAGTATACATTAAGTATGGATTTCAACAGTTTGCTCCCACACAGAAACATAAAGTGAAAAATAATAGATGATTTTTTTAAATGATGATGAAATCAGAGCAGACCTATTGTCATGTTTAATCCCAGTGAGAGTCAAGTTGGGAATTGATAATTTCTTTTTTTTTTTTCTTTTTTTTTTTTTTTTTTTACAGAGGATCAGTTTAGTATGCATTAAGTAAGGATTTCAACAGTTTGCACCCCCATAGAAACACAAAGTGAAATATACTGTTTGAGTACTCGTTATAGCATTAAATCTCAATGTACAGCACATTAAGGATAGAGATCCTACATGAGGAGTAAGTGCACAGTGACTCCTGTTGTTGACTTTACCAATTGACACTCCTGTCTATGGCATCAGTAATCTCCCTATGCTCCAGTCATGAGTTTCCAAGGCTATGGAAGCCCTCTGAGTTCTCCGCAAGTCCAGGTACATTTATAGTAGGAATTTGTTCTGTGAAACCCTGCAGCAATAGTTCTCCTCATCTCCATGGCAACAGCTTCCTATCAGCTTCTGAAGGAACTTGCCTGTATTGTAAACAAACCTCTCTTGGCAATTGGCCTGTTTTCTTTCTCTATCTCATCTCCCATCTGCTCAAAGGCTTTGCTTCAAAAAGAAATAGGTTGCAGGTGTGTACTTTTTCTTTCTTTACTCCCCTCCCCCTTTGTTTCTGAAAGAGGTCGATCTTGGAGATTAAAATTCTCTCAACTAGCGAAGCTAACAACCTCAGGGAGACAGGCTGAGTACCTGGGCATACCTGAGAACCAATGGTTGTAGTGTATCAACGTACAGCAAGTTTGCTTTCAAGTCCCTTGGGAAATAGGAAGCCAACTAATGCATTTCTTGAAGTGGATTCTAACTGCAGATGGGGGATTTAAAAAAACCTCATTTTGTGCCAGTCAGAAGTAAATTTTTTCCAAGATTCTTCAGTAAACACTAAAGTGCTTAATGAGTAACATGGGTGAGAGAAAAACTGGCTTTTACTGCCTTTTGGGAGAAAAATAATGTCTCATACATTTACTTTGGGGTTGCAGGACCCCAAACCAAAATACAGCATTATAATCTGCAGTGTTTAGAACATTGGTTATTTGTCCTCTATGATAAATTTGACATTTTTTAAGCCCACTTACCTAGGCTATTCTTTTTTTTTTACTCAGTGTCACAGCTATTGGATCAAGTAACTGCCAGAACAAATGTAATTCTGGCATGATCTCACGTATCAGGAAAAAATAAGTCAAACAGAAGGGGGAAAAAGATAAATTTCCTTCACTCAACAACACATTTGAAGAGAGGTAACTGGAAAGAGAGTATTTGGCTTGAATTATAGAAAAATTGGGGGGCATAGGAATCGCAGTCTTAAATTGCTCTTGAAAATGTATTATTTTCTTATTTTTATAAAAAATTACACATATTTATGGTATACTACATAATATTTTAAGATATAATCTTTCCTCTCTATCTTTAGGACCCCCAAGGATACCAAAATCCATGGATGCTCAAGTGCCTCATGTAAGAATACTACAAAAGGTTTTTGGGAAAATAGAATTAAAAGCTATTTATTTTTGTTGTGAAAAAATTGAATTACATGCATAGTTTTATTAATAATATGCATTTTCCATGAACTTTTTTAAGTTCCCTCATATGAAATAGTTTAGTATTTGTATATAACTTACACACATTCTTCCACATGATTTAAATAATGTTTATATTACTTATAATACCTAATACAATGCAAATGCTATTAAATAGTTATTATACTGCATTGCTTAGGGAATAATTATAAGAAAAAATGTCTGTACATGTTCAGGACAGATGCAAATTTTGTTTGTTTTTGGCCAAATATGTTTGATCCAAGATTGGTTGAATCTATGAATGAGGAAGGAAGGCTGTATTATACATTGCAGAATGATTAAAGCAAGCTGATTAATATATCTCTCACCTCATACTTTCTGTGTGTGATAATTGTTGATATCTCTAGAAAACCCTAGATTTTGGAAGTCCAAGATACCTTGTCTTAGATAAATAGTAGAAAACAGCAACCACAAGTTGAGTTCCAGCATGTTTTTTCTTTGCTGTCAATACTCTTAAAACATTATCTAAACTTACACAACAGAATTAATAACAATAGAATACTTTTAATTTTAAGGTATTTTCATATTTTTATCTCATTTTGTCATCTGACCTGTATAATCACATAAATATTTTTACCTTATAAGGAGAAAATCCAAAATTCATCCTAGCTATAAAAACAAACAGAAAGAATTCCTACACCTTCCTTAGAGTATCCTGCTATTAACTGATTATTTGTCAAGAGACAATAAAAAGCCATTATTATACAAGACAAAATACCTTGAACAAATTATATCCTGTAATAATTCAGAGTTGCTACTTTATTGTGCAAAAAGTCAGATTATCTAGGGTTTACTCATATCTTAGCTCTGATATGTAATAACCATGTCTTCAGGCAAGGTACTTAGCCTCTCTCTTACCATTCTGTGTATAAATTTTCCCAAAACAAAATGGGAACATTACTTATATTTAACCACATGATTACAGACAATAAATGTTAGCTCCAGTCTGCTTTTACTGAGTAGGGGACAAGGATCATTCACTGTTGGGGCAGAGGCATCCCTGAGAAGAAGCCAATATAGTTAGTTGATGTTATTGGTGTTATTTTTTAAAGATTGATTAATGGATTTGAGAGGCAGAGTGACAGAGAGAGATCTTCCATCCACTGGTTCATTCCCCAAAGGACCACAACCGTGGGGTCTGGGTCAGGTTAAAATCAACAGTCAGGAACTCCACCTGACTTGGCAAGGACCCAAGCACTTGGGCCATCTTCTGCTTCCTTCCCAGGTGCATTAACAGGGAGCTGGATCAGAAGTGAAGGAGCTGGGACCAGAATGTACACTTCCATATAAAGTGGCTTAACCCACTGTGACAAAATGCTGGCCACCTCCAGTGTCAATTTCTAGACACTTAGAATTTGTTTTTAAAAAATATACTCTTGGTGCCAGCGCTTGTGGCAGTGGATAAAGCAGCCACCTGCAGTGCTGGCATCCCATATGGGAGCCGGTTTGAGTTCTGGCTGCTCCACTTTCAATTCAGCTCTCTGCAATGGCCTGGCAAATCAGTAGAAGATGACCCAAGACATTGGGCACCTGTACCCATGTGGGAGACCCAGAGGAAACTCCTAGCTCCTGGCTTCAGATCGGAGCAGCTGCTGCCATTGCGGCCACTTGGGGAGTGAACCAGTGGATGAAAGACCTCTCTCTCTCTCTCCCTTTCTGCCTCTGCCTCTCTGTAACCCTGCATTTCAAATAAATAAATAAATCTTAATGTATATATATGTGTGTATATATATATATACACACATACACACACGTGTATTTCCTAGCACTGCAAATACTACTCCAGGAGGAGTCATCTCACATAATATGCATTCTCATTCTGATGCTAACACTTCCTCAACAGTTTCTACAATGCTTTGCTAAGTGGACACAAAATGCTGCTACTATGAATACACACTAGCTTTGTCTATACGTGAATAGAAAATGGAGTCCAAATTCTAAACAGAATTTAAGTTACCAAGTGTTTAAGGTGGTCCCACTGGAAAATAAATGAGACTTCTCAAGGCAACAGGTGTTGATGATGACTTCAATTTGTACAACATGACTTGTCTTCAGAAATCTTTGCCACCCTTCATAACGATCCTTTCCTCTTTTCAGATGTATGGCTGACCTGTCAGTTCTTCCCAACAGCCACCTACTCTGCCTTCTTCATTTTGTTTCACTTGAATTTCTACTACAGATTGAGCACTCTAATCTGAAAATGTGAAATCTAAAATATTCTAAAAATCTTAAACATTTTGAACACTGACATAGTGCTCAAAAAGCTTTAGATTTTAGAGCATCTGAAATTTGAATTTTCAGACTAAGGATGCTCAACTGCTAAAGTCTGTACAAATGTTCTAAAATCTGAAAAATTCAGAAATCTGAAACTCTTCTAGAAATAAGCATTTTTGCATAAGGATATTCAACCTGTAATGTCATCTAAATTTGTAACTGAGTGAGGTATCTAAAAAAAAGTATCTTAAAAATACTTCTCCCTGGAATTTTAAAACTAGTCTGAAAACTCTAAGATGTCTGAATCTTAGTGACCCTTCTCACTTACATATGTATTTATTTTAAAAGTATTAATTGACTGCCTACCATGTTCCAGGCACTGTTCTAAATGCTGGAAATGTGTGAAAACAAGGACATAATCTCCATCCTCATGCAGTTTCCTGTGTGGTGGAAGATATAAGCTTTAATCAAATAATTACAAAAACATATGTAAAATTAACATACAGGAACTTTTAATCTGGAATTTGACATCTAGCATTTGGAAACAATTTTCAAGGAAGACATCCCAGAGGAAGTGGGGCTTGAGCTAAAACTGAAGAGGACATAGTAGTAAAACACACAGATAGTCGTCATATATATTCTATTTATTATCTGTTCCTAGTTATTTGGATCTGAATCCCACAAGAGCAGATTACACTGCCTCCTTTGTCACACTATCCTTAGGGCCTGAAACTGCATCTGGAACAACATTCAACACTCAATGGATGTTTATTGAATGAATGAACTGAAATGGAAAATTAGCTGGAGTAATCTTTGAACATAAAAGAGTTTTGGGGCCGGCGCTGCGGCTCACTAGGCTAATCCTCCACCTAGCAGCACCGGCACACCGGGTTCTAGTCCTGGTCGGGGCGCCGGATTCTGTCCCGGTTGCCCCTCTTCCAGGCCAGCTCTCTGCTGTGGCCAGGGAGTGCAGTGGAGGATGGCCCAAGTGCTTGGGCCCTGCATCCCATGGGAGACCAGGAGAAGCACCTGGCTCCTGCCTTCGGATCAGCGCAGTGCACTGGCCACAGCGCACCAGCCTTGGCGGCCATTGGAGGGTGAACCAACGGCAAAAGGAAGACCTTTCTCTCTGTCTCTCTCTCTCACTATCCACTCTGCCTGTCAAAAAAAAAAAATTAATTCAAAAAAAAAAAAAGAGTTTTGGAAAAGCCATACAACTTAGAAAACTCACTGTGGTTTTGAGAACCTGAAATGTTATGAAGGAGTTTTAAATCCCTTAGTGGTGAGGCAGTGGGACCAGTTTGACTTCCTTTCTTCTATTCCTCATTGACTGTTTCCAAATCATCCAAGATTCTAGGACTTATTTGGACAGTAATGCTTCAAATAAACAGTATGCAGGTAAATCCACTACCCTTCCCTCTCACTATAGTCCTTGTTTAACACCTACGGAACTGTGATCAATTATTCTCATATTAAAGTGTAAGCTGGTGTAATATACCATGGGGCAGCATAGTGGCTGGTGTATACAGATAAAAACCTCTCCCATCCCCTTCCTCCTCCTTTTTCCTCTATTTCTCTATTCCTACTTCTCTTTTTCTCCCTCTTGTCTCCTCCCTTCTGCCTCTCCACTTGCTTCCCGCTTTCTTTCTTTCTTTCCCTTCTTCACTGACTATGCAGGAGATGCTTTGCTCCGAAACCCTTTACTGCACATACATCGGATGTAAAAAGAAGGATAAAGGCAGAAAACATACTGGCATTTGGTTGAGTCAGTCAATATTCACTGGGTATTCCTATATGACCAGATCTCCTTCTGACACTGACTTTGTTCAAGGATCCCCGTCCATCCTAAGCAGGCATCCACTTAACTGGGGAAGCTAAAATATGCTCAGGACAAGTTACCAACAGCAAGATTTCAACTCGCACAAATGAATTCTGTATGGCCTTGTATGAGACTCCACTGTACACGAGTTAAATCAGGGAGCCTTTCTAAAGAAAACAGAGATTTTTAGATTTGATTTTGAAAGAGAAAAGGGATCTGGATTATCAAAGAGGAATAGATATGTAGAATTCCTAAAGAGAAATATTTTTCTTTGCATAATGTAAATTTCTTCAAAGCTTAGGATCATTTGGGGAAAAACTAATCATTTCCAAAGGAGAATCTTGATATGGCCAGCAGAGTTCACTAGAAAGTACAGAAAACAAGAACAACTAAAGAATAGTTTCCCTTATTCTTTTTCAAAGTCAAATGGGAGTCCTTTCCCTTAAGAAATATGAACACTTTTGTCCTTTGGACAGGAAAAACTCAATAACAAAAGATCCCATTAATCTGCACATGGGGAAATGTTCTTCAAAACAGAAAATTTCTTGACCTAGACTACAAATTAATCTCGACATTAACCTTTATGTCATCTTTCCTCTGCTATAGGAGACAATTCAGTATTGTGGTATATAAATTAACTATTTCGTTAAGCACACATACCATAAAGTTCTAAAGCATGTTCCATAAGACTAAAGTGCAGATAATGTCCCACTTGTTAGGCATTTCCTACCTGAAGGCACAAAAATAAATTAAGCAGACTGGCTGTAAGTTTGTGCTGAGAATGCTTTCTCTTCTTTTTGGATCAACACCTGCTAGTCTGGTCTTGTGTCTCTTTCACTCTCCCAGATAGTATTTCACTGCTTAGAGGCCTTTGAAAGGCTACAGATAACAAACACTCTTTGGTCCCTTGCATTTCAATAGAATAACCTGAAACTTCTTATCATGAAGGCCCAGGCAGACCATGATGTTGGGGAGGGGCTTAGAGTTCTCAGGTCCTAGTTCCATGAGTAATTTTATTTCTTTTAAACAAAAAATGGGTTAGGTTAAACCTAAAATCACACCCAAAATAATTTTTTGTGGCACCACCAATGACCTGTCTAGGTCCTCTGATTTTTTTTCATTTCAAAACTTCACACTCTTGTTTCCATTCCATCTTGTGCCTATGCATGTGATGCATAGAGAAAGGACTGGCGGCTAGACATCAAGGCATCAAGAGCCCTGTTTCCGTGGGAGACTGCAGTGGCGCTATATAAATGCACATTTGTAGATCTCTTGATTGAGAGACTTTATGAGCATACTGATTCATCCAATAGTCAACTCAATCAGGTCTTCAGAAGCACCCACCTATGAGCACAGAGACTATGAAAGGAGCTCTCTGAGTATATCTGGGTTATGTCATTAGACATTTACTAAGGTTTCTTAGGAGAAAATGACTGGGCCAGCTTAAAAGAGCTTTGGTTTTCAAATATTAACAAACAAGCACGTATGTGTACTTGATAGATCCCTCTCTAAGAACATAATATTTACTTAACATGTTATGATTTGTGAGAACTAGTGGTTGCAAAATTACCTGAATTTAGGAACTGTAATTTGCAATGCATACAGTCATTCATAATACATTGCCCAGGAATTTGTACATTCTAGCCATTCAATCATTGTTGAATGAATGGACATTATTGCCCACCCTATTCAAATCAAAGGACCCAATAGCACCCTCTGAGATTGGCTACCATGAATAACAAACAGATGCTAACCTGTGGTCCTCTCCTTGCTGAACATACATGTCACCTGTCATAATCTGTTATCTTTCTGGTGTAGTTGTCCAGTCATGCTCTGACTGGCCTGTGGGAAAGCAATTTATTTCTCTTTATTTCTTCATTTTATAATAAAGAAAGGAAATTACTAGCTGATCATCTTCCTCAGAATGAGTGTGAAGCTAAAGGAAATATTGCCAGATAGTAGGCTATAAACCAGTAGAATTGGATCACACAGGTAACCCTAGAGATCAAAAGAAGATAGGTGATTTCTGTGGTAGGGGTAGGGGAGTATATAGTGGCTAAGTAATGCATACAGAGTCTATTTGGGATGATGAAAATGTTTTGGAACTGGATAGGAATGGTGGTTGCACAACAGTGTATCAAATGCCTCTGAATTGCACACTTTAAAATGTATAACTTTATTGTATTTTAGGAGTGAAATTCAACTCAAGGAAAAGTTTGTATTATAATATTCATAGTCCCAAAGCATGTTGTTGTCAACTCTGTGAAGAGTGGCATGCTGAGTGTTGTCTATTTATACTTTTCAAAGGATCAGCAATTGCTCTATGATAGTTTTTTCATAAACTTAAACTGAGTTTACAGAAAACATTGAATGCACATCGATGATGAATGTGTCAATATCCTGATAATGTTACAGGACATGATTTGAGTCTGAACCTGAAAACAGGGTTAAATTTGTGACTTAATGATGCAAAATGTTTCCTTGACAAGCAAGAAGGTATTTACCTCCTTGATCATTTTAAACAGAAGTTCATTAATTTCCATGGCATAAAAAATATTAATGAGCACCATTAATTTTGGATTATGATCTGTTTATATATATTCTCTGAAAACAAGATTTTTTTAAAAAGCAAATTCTATTTTCATTTGAATTTTACGAATCTGCTCTTCAATAAATCAAGTATTTATTAAGCTCTGTTAAACATAACAATATGTCCCCACCACTAGTGCCAGACTCTGAAGTCTAAGAGAAAATGACTAAACAGATTTTCATGGCCATTGTTTTATTATTTAGAAAGTTAAGTTTATCAAACAGATAATGGTAATGCATTGAAGTAAGCAAGCAAATGCTATACAACCCTGTGCTACTACTATATGTCTTGGCAAAATAATTTGGCATCTATTACCCTTATGGCCATTCTGTGAGGCACGTAGAATAGGATTATTGATTGTCTTTTGGTAGGATGAAAAAGCTACAAAGGCACAAAGTAAGTAGGACAGACAGGATTTGAATCTGGGTTTAGATACCTAGTCTTGTACACTTTTTGCAACTAGGAGTTGGAAGCTGAGTTCTAAAGGAACTTCTGTCACACACTTGTAGTGTGCCATTAAACAAGTCCCTCAACCTTTTGGATTTCAGTGTCCTCCTGTCTTAAATAAGAGATTAAGATCAGATTTCAGTGTCCTTCTCTCTTTAATAAGATTGCCCTTTTGGGAGCCCGAATTTTCTGTTGGCAAGTGCAGAAATCGCATATTCTATCAGCTAACTGTTCTTTCTTGGCATGTCTTAACCTATGTGCACCTTCTACATTAATATAACTCCATCCTTAAATGCAGTAACCCACACTTTTTGAATGCCCACAATGTATGTGTTATGTTTGTAAAGCCATCTCAATTAAAGTACCCTGATACAAGATTTCCTCAAGTTGCTCAGCCTACAACAAATAAGCTCCTACGATCACAATGGTCTTATCCAGAGGCAGCATTCTTTCTTGTTCACTGAATCCCTCACTGTATATAGCTCTTTAGTCCTTGCAAAGCACTTTTCCATCTCTTGTTTACTTGACATCACTAGAATGAAATACAGACCTTCACAGGTATCAGGCAAAGCCTCCATCTAAGCCACACTATCTCTGCCTAAACGAACATGATCATACACCCAGTCTCATTGTGAGCCTACAAGGGTGTGACTGAGATAAGGCAGGGTGGGAACCTGACCCAGTGACAGCCAATCAGAAGGCTTTTGTCTGTGGATCTAACCACGGTGATTCATCAGCTACCAATCCCAGAGGCTTTTAATAGAAGAACAAAAAGTCCACTATTGCCCCAAAGGCTGTGCTTGGTTTATTTCCATGAGTAAAAAAAAGTTCATTTAACTTTAAAGAGCAACTTCAGAATCCCCACAAAACAAAGCTCAAGGGAGAAGAATAAAAAAAAAAAAAAAAAAAAAGGAGCTAACTGTATTACCTCTGTCTCTGTAGTTCTAGAGAGTAGAGAAAAACCTGTCTCCCCAAAAAAGACCCCAGTGACCTCAATTATCTTAAATGTCAACAATTCATTATAAAAAGTAACTTATTGAAAGAATGATGTCAGCATTTCAATTGCAGATAGTCCCTTCTTTCAGGCCCTCCCTGATACTTGCTTCCCATGCATATTGGAAGTTTTCTTTTTTCACTTGCCTGTCCCAAAGTATCTTCAAAATATATAAAATCAAGCAATCGCTTCAAAATATTAATGCCATGGAATAATTCATAAGTTCTGGAAACCAGAAAAATTCCACTCGTAATTTGTATCAGGGAATGCAAAGTGCAGGGAAAGCTATGGTTTTCTGTATAGGAATAGGAAGATATTCCAGAGTAGTTGATGGTGGAGACGACCTTTTCCTCCTGGGGAAAGTCTCTAACAACTACAGTCTGGAAGAGTCCTCCAGGCTCAGAATGGAGTAATGTTAAACAGGGAAGCAAGGAATCAAAACAACAAACAAAACAAATTGTCCTTTACAATATGCTAACATTATATTCAAGGTCTGGTTATTTTCTCTAGTTGTCTACCTTCTAGTTATTTAATTTGATCATTATGAGCAAAATAGTATAGTCAACGACCGTGAAAAGGTGATCGGGAGGTGGAACTCTCATAGAAGCACCAAGCTCTGACACTGCTATTATATATCCTCACTTAGTCATTATCATTCAATGATTACATAGTAAGTCTGTGATATTCCCAAATGCTGTGCTGGATGCTGGCTCTGGAAGTCTGCCAAGTTTACAAAACCTTTTACAAAGTCCGTGTCTTACATGTAGATCTTAGTGATTTGTATACCAATGACCTTACTACCATGACCAGATCTGTCTGGATTAGAAATCGGCATCTGACCCAAACATAGCCATCTACTGGCCTTCCAGAAGTTTATAAGAAATGCCCAAGATGCTTCTCTATATTGGATAACTATCAAATAAACTCTTAGAATAATCTCTGAGTGATTCTATTGTCAAATACTCAGAGAGGCCGACTAGGAATACAGGAAAACAGAAATATTGCCACCTGTACAAGTCATGATGCAATAGAAGCCATGCCTGAGTATGAACAGTGAGGACAGTAAAGAGAGTGAAAAATTAGCAGCAAAAATCACAGGAATCTTGGTGAAGAAGATTAGCAAATACTTGCTGCCAAGAAAAAAAAAAATCCCAGTCCTATGAAGTCTACTGAAAAAGCCATTCATTAATCAAATAATTACACAAACCCTAGTAAATGCTTGAAAGGTAAAAACAGTTACAAAATGAAATTAGGGAGGAGGAGCTAACTTTTGTGTGAGGGAGAGGGACAGGGGAACGGGAGCCCAGGGAAGGCTTCCTGGAGTAGTGACATTGGAAGAGAGATCTCAAATGATGAATAGGAATTAAGTGAGCAGAAGTAATTTAGGAAGAATCATGATATCATAGAGACATTGGAAGAGAAGGGGCAGAGGAGAGCAAGGTTAATCTAGAAAGTTAGGTAGAGGCCAGTTCCTGCCAGAACATGTAGGCCATTTTAATGATTTGGGTCTTAATCCCAAGAGCAGTGGGAAGCCATCAAAGGATTCCAATGGGGAGAGACGAGCTGAGATGTGCATTTAAACTGACAACTGTGACTCGTGTGGGAATTTGTGGGAGGGACCTAGAGTGGAAATACCAGTTCAAAGGCTTCTTCAGGAGTCCAGGGAAAAGATAGTGACTTGGGTCAGCAGACTGGCCAGTATCCTGTATAGCCAGCGCCTCAGGGTGGGGAAAACATCTCATTTATCTCTGCATCCCTAAGGTGTGGAATAATCTTGGCACCTGGTAAAGACTCAGGAAATGGTTATTGAATGAATAGAGATACATTTTTAAGGAGTCAGGGGTTGATAATAGGCAAATGAGTTTCTTTTTTTCACAATGAATCCATACTAAAGAAGAAATGACTAATGGTGGAATTTCAATTTCTGTGCTATTCTCTCAAAGAAGATATTTGAGGGTAAGGAAAACGTTTAGCCTCTGAAATCAGTCTATTCATTCGTAATAGGGGAATCAGTAGCAAAAATAGAGGTGTTGGTTATAAAAAATAAATAGCAACCTCGTGTTGAAAGACAAAAAAGACTATTGGTTAAAATCACAGGATCTGGAGTCAAAGTACCCAAAGTCATTTCCCAGTTATACAGATTTCTTGCTGTGTTACAATAGGCATACCTTTTAAATCCTTTCTGCCTCCATTTCTTCATCTGCGTAGTGGTAATATTCATAGTATCATGTCTACTTGCAAGTGTTCCTATGAAGATGAAATGAGATTATATATGTTAATCATTTGTCACAATGCCTGACACATAGAAGCTCTGGATAAATACTATTTTTATTATTCTTACTCAGAGTTCGAACTTCTCAAAGAAAGGCAGTCTTTATTAGAGGATAGTGCCTGTGACATATTGGTCACTCAATAAATTTTGTGCTGTTGACTCTGCATTCTATCCATCATCCTGAATTTGAGGATTTTATTTCACAAGTTTATTTCAGAGCCCTCTTTTTTCAACCCAGGTCTCGTAACAATCTTTTGTATCCTGAAAGAGAACATTCTTCTCACCCTATAATTATCAGCCTTTCCATCACCTTCCTCTTTTCTTGTTCCAAACAAAATTATTCACTCTGCTTACCTTTCCCCCCACAAATCCTGCCATTTCAAAGTTAATTGCTTCTACTTCCATTACACACCTGCCTTCTCTATTTTGTCTATTAACTTTGCTTTCTTGTAAGTAGATTGTATCTATCTTGCATGTCCCCTTTCCCTTCTTATTAATGAACTTCCTGGCCCTGGCATGAGTTGAGAGTTATCCTTCAACTCTGTCTTCTTAAACCAGTCTCCAAATTCTTTGCTGCTTAGGTGATTGCTTTTGGCATCATCCTTGCTAATTCACCTTTGTTAGGCAACTCTTGTCTCTGAAAACATCCCTTTCTTAAAGGGTACAGGAGAGAATTATTCCTCAAGCATTTTTTTTTTTAACTATCATTCTTTGAAATTGGTTTTATATTCTCCTCCTTGTCGATGTCTAGCAATATGTGTCTTCAAGCTAGCATTACATATTGTCTATACCTCCAGCAGGTAAAAGGAGAGAAAAGCCACACTTCCTGGCACTCTTCCAAAACAAATCAACAGCCCTCCTAGCTCCATCCTGCTGAGTACCTGTATTCATAAACTGGTTTCATTCAGGAAGATTAATTCTGCCTTTTCCAGTTACTATGCTCCATTGGCATTCCTCACCCTCCATATCAGAATACTATGTAGGTTGATTGTTCTTCTCCCTAATTGTACTCTTACCACTGATTCCATCTACTCATTCTGGACCTTGTTTTATGGTTCATTGCAAACTATTCATTTCCCCATTTACCCCCCACATTCCCTTGGATTGCTTTATACAATTCTTAAACAAGATCATTAGGAATTTGTTTGTTTAAAGCATGTTTTTAGTACTGTGGAGGTTGCATTTTCAGGGCCCCATGCCTTGCTTAGCTGTATTTCCACCTTGACTCCTAGTCTCATAAGTGCTCATGTTCAAGTTTGTCTCTGTAACAATGGATCCAGTAGAGACAGTAGGCTAATGGGATGAGAATCAGAGATCTTAAAGCGTAAGGAATCCAAATGCTATTTCACAAGATTCCTAATATAAATGTCTTTCTGATAATATGAAGATGCTTCAAGACACAAAAAGTTCTCTGTTTACAAAATAGTTTTAACTCTTAAACATTTCAGTGTTCTACAAAGTATTTCCTAATCATTAAGTGAAATCTGCTTCAATATAATTTACATATACATGCACTGCTTTTTTCTGATGTTACATGCAATCACTAAATCAATGTTCCCTAATAAGTATTTGTGGGTTTTTAACAATAGGTATCTAAATGTTTACTTTTGTTTCCAGGCTAATTTCCCAAATTCCTTCAATGATTGATCAAATACCACAGTCTACACCTCCCTTATATTCTACAATAAAGTTCTCACAACCAATGTCCCATTTGATTCACATGACTTAGAACCAAATACAATGATCCCTGAGGGTCTGACCAGCTCAAAGCAGGGTGCTAGGATGACCTTTATTTACATTCATCATCCTAAGAATTTGTTTGCTTTTAAAATGTTTTTTATTCATAGCCCTGGCCATTGCAGATATTTGAGGAGTGACCAGCAGATGGAAATCTCTTTCACTCTCTCTCTCTCTCTCTCTCTCTCTGTAACTCTGCCCTTCAGATAAATAAATAAAATCTTTAAAAAAGTTTTTATTCATAATTTTATATGAATTATTCCTGGATCAGATGGTAGGTACCCTATATTTGTACAGCTAATTTTTAGGACCTAAATATAAAGTTTCTCACTTGGACTTATCAAAGGCATTTTGTGAGGCTTGGTCCATCTTTTCAACTTTTAGTTTTTTTTTTTTTTTTAACTTTTATTTAATGAATATAAGTTTCCAAAGTACGAATAATGGATTACTATGGCTTCACCCCCATACCGTCCCTCCCACCCACAACCCTCCCCTTTCCCACTCCCTCTCCCCTTCCATTCACATCAAGATTCATTTTCGATTATCTTAATATACAGAAGATCAGCTTAGTATACCTTAAGTAAGGATTTCAACAGTTTGCTCCCACACAGAAACATAAAGTGAAAAATAATACATGATTTTTTTTAAATGATGATGAAATCAGATCAGACCTATTGTCATGTTTAATCCCAGTGAGAATCAAGTTGGGAGTTGATAGTTCTTTTCTTTTCGCGATTTTTATTTTTATTGTTTTTTTTTTTTTTTTTCCACAGAGGATCAGTTTAGTATGAAATGTGATCCCTGTTAAACATAAGAGTAGGAATAAGAGAGGGAAGAGATATATAATTTGGGACATGCTCAAGCTGACTTGCCCCAAATGGTAGAGTTAGAAACATACCAGGGGACTCCAATTTAATCCCATCAAGGTGGCATGTACCAATGCCATCTCACTAGTCCAAGTGATCAATTTCAGTTCACAATTGATCATAATGAAAGGACTAAGAGTCAAAGGGAGCACATAAGCAAGTCTAGTACCTGCTAACACTAACCGATAGGATAAATAAAGGGGAGAGTGATCCAACATGGGAAGTGAGATACTCAGCAGACTCATAGAATGGCAGATGTCCTAAATAGCACTCTGGCCTCAGAATCAGCCCTAAAGGCATTCGGATCTGGCTGAAAAGCCCATGAGAGTATTTCAGGCATGGAAAGCCAAGACACTCTGGCAAAAGATCTCTGTGAGTGAGATCTCAGTGGAAAGAACAGGTCTTCAAAGAAGGAGGTACCTTTCTCTGAAGGGAGGAGAGAACCTCCACTTTGACTATGACCTTGTCTAAACAAGATAAGAGTCGGAGAACTCAGAGGGCTTCCATAGCCTTGGAAACTCATGACTGGAGCAGAGGGAGATTACTGATGCCATAGACAGGAGTGTCAATTGGTAAAGTCAACAACAGGAGTCACTGTACACTTACTCCTCATGTAGGATCTCTGTCCTTAATGTGCTGTGCATTGAGATTTAATGCTATAACGAGTACTCAAACAATATATTTCACTTTGTGTTTCTATGGGGGTGCAAACTGTTGAAATCTTTACTTAATGCATACTCAACTTTTAGTTTTTATTTTTAAGTTCCAGCTGTAATATTTAACTTAATTATTCTGCTTGACTTTCTTTTACTGTAAGTTTTTATATGTACTGTTCATCATATCACACTGCAAATAATCAGCAAAATTTTGAATAAGGACCTAAAATACAACCTAGATATTTCTGCTTGTGGCTGATACCAACAAAATAACTAACACCATTATTCAGGAGTTATAACCCTCTGGAACACACAGTATATCTGCTTTTCTTGAGGGAGTGAAGGTAATATCCACATCCTGACGATGAAAGTTAGTACATATTAGGTATTATGAGTCTATTGTGTGCTGGGCTTTTTATAAGAGGTTTACATGCATTATCTCCTTTACTCTGTGTAACAGCTCCTTGAAGAAAGCCATGTTACTACTCTTTCCCATTATATAAAGAAGTTAGGACAGATTGATCAGACAGTGGTGGCATGGATGTTTCAGTTGAGCTCCCAAAAGACTCCAGAATCTAAACTCCTAACCCTTAATTGAGATTTTGTCAAATGACATGCAGAAATACACATTTTTTTTAACTTTCCTATTAATCAACCTAATACTTTCCAAAATAAGAAATGCAACTAGGGGGCTGGCATTGGGGTATAGCAAGTAAAGCCGCCACCTACAATGCCAGCATCCCACATGGGCACCTGCTTCTGCCCCAGCTACTCTACTTCTAATCCAGCTTCCTGCTAATGGCCTGGGAAAGGCGGCAGAGAATGGCCCAGGTACTTGTGCCCCTGCTGTCCACATGGGAGACCTGGAAGAAGTTCGTGGCTCCTGGCTTCATCCTTACCCAGCTCAGGCTGTTGCAATCATCTGAGGAGTGAACCAGCAGATGGAAGATCTCTCTCTCACTCTCTCTTTGTGTATCTCTGACTTTCAAATAGATAAATAGATCTTTAAAAAAAAAAAAAAAAGAAATACAACTAGTTTAATGTGAATTCTAAGTGAAAGTGAATGTGGCTCTTAGCGAACATAACCTCTTTCTAGATCTTCCCACACCAGACCTTTAGTTATCCAGGGCCAGCATTTTTCCAGGAGAAGCTAAACTTCTAGCCTCAGATCTCAACCTTTGCTCCAATCTTTCTGTGTTCCACAGGATGTGTGGTCCAGCTACCCTTACAGCTTATTGACAGATTCAAGGACCCATATCTACAAGAACTTTGACTACCCTCGGAAATAATAGGCCGGTTTAACTTGTTAATCCAGTATTCTTATAATAATTCTATCTTTTCTCTAAACCTTAATAGCTGTCACTCACAACTGAAGAATATCCCTCAAATTTACTTTGGAGGAAAAAAACAGAAATTGAATATTTCTGCTCTCTCACTTTCATCTGACATTGAAGGCTCCCCTTGGTGTGCCTTTCTCAAATGTCCTCGGAAGTATAGTGGAGAATGCCATGTAGCAAGGTATTCCCCTCACTTAAAATATGGCATAGGGAACACATTATCAAGGTAGATGGCATTCTAGGGTATTTCAAGGACAGAAGGTAGTTCTACCTAAGCACTTGCTTGTGCCACCTCTGCTTCAGTACACATGCCTTGTGTAGCCCTGACACCATTCACACCAAACAGGTTAGGAGTGGCCAAGACAATGAGAATCAAGGG